CTAATGTTACTGAATCTGTGGAAGCTCCGCGATAGCCACCACACGAAGTAACGAGTAACGACCCTATCTAAATCCCAGTAACGACTAACGCGTTCCTGATTTATTTAATGGTGTATTTAATTAATTCATTATGGCAGTCCTGGCGTTCCATAAGGGTCCTTATTTTATTCATAATTTTCATTTTTTAGCTGGATGGCCTCATGTTAATGATGAGCAGTAATTAACATTTTCAGTTACTTACATTTTAATTCATTAATTCAACTGAACCCGTTAAACTTCCAATTTCAGCCAAACATGTTTAAGAGACTGTGACATGTTACACAGTAACTTTCACTTTTACTTAATTTGGCTTCCACTGACTTCACTTCAGCTGAACCTGCTGATGAGGTTTAACAAGTTCAGTCAAAGCAACCACAGCCATTTGCAAACCAGAACAGAAATGGAAACTGAAATGAGTGGATGATTTTAAGTTGTTCTTTTCTTTAAAAAAAAAACAAACAGATTTGATCTTAAATTAATTTTATTATAAACAATTGTAAATGCTTTAAAGTGTTGCTCATGTTGCCAGATTGCTATCAAAGTTTCATTTATTAAGAAATGGAATGAGTGAGACAAAATGCAAAAACTAAAATGAAATATGAAGACTTTTGTATTCCATAAATATAAATTCAAACTTTGAATAAATTATATGTAGTTCACAGAACAAGAGACTCTATTAAGTCAGTAGTGTAAGGTTCCGGTGTGATGGCTTATATACAGTGGCGGTTTTTCATATGGGCGACATGGGCCATTGCCCAGGGCAGCATCGTGGTGCGGGTGGCATCATGGGCATGGGCATGGGCATGGGCAAAAAAAGTTGCTTGCACCCATGCTGCCCCGACATCATGCCAGCGCATTTTGGGGATTGCATAGGCACTGATCAGTTTTCTGTTGCCTATTTGCGGGGAGTAAGGGCGCCCTCCTTTTGCAAGGTGCGCCTGCTGCTTGCTGCTGGCCATACAGGGATGAGAGGGACGGGGTGGCGAGTGATTTTATGCTGGCTGGAGCGGCAACTAATAACCAGCTTGCAAAATAAAACAAAATAAAAACAAACCAACAAACACAAAAACACCAGGCATTATGATATAGATTAAAAATTTGCACTGATGTGTTTTCTAAATTCTACTAAACACATATACGTGAAAATAAGGACGATGGCCCTCGGTGTGCCTGCTTGCTGCTGCTCCTTTGCTGAAGTCTCACACATAACCTGTCAAAAGGGAAGGGGGTGCGGGCTGCTTCCAAATACATTTCATTCATAATGTTTTAAATCCAAGCCCATTATGTATTAATTATGTTTTCCTGGGTTGTGCGAAATCCCCCAAAAAACCCTATACAAACAGAGTCAGTGCCCTAAGGCAGCGGTCCCCAACCCCCGGGCCTCGGACCGGTACCGGTCCGTGAGTCATTTGGTACCGGGCCGCGAGAGTTGAGGCTCAGGTGTGAAATGTATAGTTTTCAGGGTTTTTATCGGTTTTCAGCGTTATTTTGTTATCGTTTTTA